ATAAAATTATTTGTGAGTTTCTCAACATGTAAGATGGGTGTGAAATATAGCTCTTGGAAGAACTTACTTTCAGATATCCATCAAGGATCAACTTTGCAATCAAAAGTTCGATCAGTTCTCGACTTACGGAATTGATTTTCTTCCAAGTTAATTCCACCAACTTCATCCCCGTTATACGATTATTATCAGTTTTTTGAACCTCAATAATAAAAAAAGCAAAGTTTAAAAAAATACCACTGAAAAGAAAAATAAAGCGGTTGGAAATGTTTAGATTTGTTTTTCATAAATGGAAGAATTTCTACTTCAAATTGCCTATATTAGGTTGTTACTGCGACTTGTTTAACCTACAGCTCTGATTATATGAACCATTAATTTTTCTGGAAGGAGAATTACATGCAAATCTCCAATACTAGCTAATATACATGTTTAAATTTATTATATACGGGCATACATTTTTCAACACTTCCAGCATCACTCGCCAATGATCGGTCACATCCACACATTCAATATTATTAATTTGAGAACATATATCACACATCTTGGAACACAGTGATGGATTCCATTCCACATTGAAATGCTCAGCTATTACTGACCGTCGACATTCCGATGCCTGTAAATAATTTTAAACATACAAATCACAAAACTACTTTGAAGTATGAATAAACAAAACTTAATAAGAGGTTGACATCTTACAAAATGAATGATTCATCTAATTTTCCCAGTAGTGTTTGGAAATGAAAGAACTAACTGAGACATAGCTCTTTTATTTCCAAAACTATTGCAAAATCTGAACAAAGTGATAGAGAAAAGCCTGAAAAAATTACAAAAAATCTCTCTTATAATGATTTAACATCCATTCGCTCATTGTTTTCAACTTGGTTATTCTAACTGCTCCTTATTGACTCTACATCTTGTGGACTTAAATATACACCCGAATCAAATCCCAACTATAAGAAATGAAATGTAGCCAAAAATTTAGAAAAGTTAGTCCAAGTTTAGTATGTAGTATTGAACCGCTCCCTGTTTTCCGAAATACTTTAAATTAGTCTCGGTCTCCGCCTTGACAAACTAAGCAAAATGCATTATACCTGAGTACAGTAAGATAATACTGAATATAAATTGCGCACACCAGTTTTTTCCGTGCAAACCATCGTACTCTGCCGAAAGAGATCATTTAAACGATAAAATAAGATACAATACGCCTCACTACCATCTCGTCCAACACGCCCACTTTCCTTGATAAGGGATTAAAACCACAATGGAACGTGATCAAATCATAACAGTTATAAGCTTAATTAAAACCATATCATATAAACTCATAGGATTAAAACGAAATAAAATTTTTTCTTTTACAAAATCTATTTTCCTAACAAGAACTTTTACCTGAAAGAAATAAAAGTTCCATCAAAAGTTTTATTTTTAAATAGTTCCGTTGAAAAAACATTACACTTAATTAATTACTTAACTGAAGAGTTAGTTTAAGCAGTTCAATGCAACGGCATGCATTAATTCAACCAAGCGTAATGAAACGCTCGGTGACTTATATCACCACAAAATAAGTCATTCTTATCAAATGGTTAAATTAAGAATTTGAAAACGAGTGAAATTAAAAATGAATAAAAAACCTTGCTCTTGCTTACTCAGCCCTTTACAATCAAAAATAAATACCTGATAATAGTTCTCCAGTGACTTAGGTAAAGAATGATGTATGACATACCGAACATCAGGTTTATCAATCCCCATACCTGAAAAAAATTTTGTTTAATCCAAAAAGAAATTTAACATAGAAGACACATGACTAATAGACAAGTACGCATTAAATTTTAATCATACTGTTAATGAAAAAAAAAAACAAACCAAAAGCTACTGTTGCTATAATGACGTTAATTTCTCCATTCAGCCATTTTTCATGAGTAATGTACCTTTTATTAGCATCCAGAAAAGCGTGATAATATAACGCCTTTATACCTTTTGCACTATAAATACATCAGTATGAATATCAAATGATATGTAAGAGATAGCACATATGATCACAGATTCAGGAAAATCTGACTTTATAAAAAATAATGGCAATAGTATGAAGATAATTTTTTTACATAGATTTCAGAAATTATTCACGTTCTTCTGTGAAATTATGGATGGAAGAATGTCCGATGTGGAAGAGACGTGCTTCTAAATACCGGAAGATAAACAATTACCGCAATGATTTTGTAAGTTCCTCACACTCTTTACGCGAAAAGCAATAAATAATTCCACTAAGCTCCGCAAATCGAGTTTTAATTAACTTCGCCAAAATATCCACAAATTCAACATCTGATGATGGTTTTTGACAAACACTGTAATGTAAATTTGGCCGATTGAAACCAGCGCGGAATACCACAGCTGCTAAAATTAAAGTGACAAAAATTTAGACAAGCATTTGACCAACCGTCACAGAAAGACTCCATTCACAATTATAAAATAATAAAAAAATTTTTGTCTAAAATAAGGAACAATAGTCAGAATAGTCAGCGTCCACTTGGACACTATTCCAAAATTTTTCGAAAAATCAAACTCATTTAAAGTATTTATTAAATCTTTCATAAATCACAATGATTTATATTAAAAAAATTCATCCAAGACTTACTTTTAAATATAAATCAAAAAAATGTAAACCTGGAATGCCCAGCATGTTTTTCACATCACTAATAACATCAGCAGTAGCCGTAGCAGTCAGCCCGATCAATGGCACAGCTTGAAATTGACGCTTCAAAACATTAAGGAATTTAAAGTCTGGTCGAAAATCATGTCCCCATTGTGAGCAGCAGTGTACTTCATCAACTGCAATCAACTGAAATCTATGGAAGTAGCTTTAAAACTTTGAAATTAAATAAGCAGGTCTTACTGGATACACCAATCACACCTTATTCCAGAAACACAGTGTGCTCAGGTACATTATTATAGAATAGAAAAATTTCTCACAAAAAATAAGCGACTCCATCCATGGTAGCACTTAATTTATTAATTCAAATCTTTACAAATGAGTCCTTCAATCATTGAAAAATTAATATGTGAAAATAAGTACGATGAGCAGATCGAAATAGCTACATCAATTTAAAAAGTAAAAAATTAAACAAAACTTAAAAAATAAAACCGAACTGACCATATTCAACAGCTAACCTTTAATCGTTTCATTTCATTACATTTTTCCAAACGGTTCATAATCCGTTTACTTTTTGCCAATTTTTCCGGAGTGACATAGAGTAAGCATAGCGAAGCCTTTGGATCAATAAGTGCTGCTTGCACTCGACTTATCTAGAAATATGCCATGTACTTTTTAATCATAATCATTTTGCTAATGAAAAAACTGCTCTCCATTATCAAACAGTAATTCCCAAATAACGAATTCCATTAAAGGACCAAGAAGAGGACTGTTTAAAGCTATTATCTTAATTTACATATCAACAAATTGCATTATCCGTTGTCTCAACTTTTATTCTCATTTCATCAGGTTATTTTTTTTTTGAAAAAAAACTAAAATTCTCTGCTGCGTTTCTCTCATTCTGAATTCTAAAATTTCTTTCTCTTTCTTCCTATATTTTAATATCGGCCAGAGAAAAAATTAAAATAAATGATTAAAGAATCGACATAGAAAGTGCTCTTTCAAACGTAATGTGTAATGCGTGTAATGCTCTACTACAGACCACATGTAACTGCATCACCAAGAAATGCACTATGATGAATTTTTAGAAAAACTCTCTGAAGATCACATTATAGTAATGTAACAAACTATGCATGATATTTATAAGCCATGCAATATAAAATAATGAAGCTTCGAGGTGTAAACAAGAAATTAAATATTAATCTTCTCATACAAGAATAATCAATTCTATTTCCCCAATTATAAAAGCTTGATAGCTAACTGCACAAGTTTCACATTATAAATCTGTAAATTTCTTCTCTAAGGCATGAACAGAATACATCTATAACATCTATTTATGAGAACGACTAAATAATAAGGGCAAATCTAAATTTTCATAAAATATTTCAAGACATCTTTCTCAACGTTGCATACATGCAGTGTTTGAGCTTGCAGGCAAATGATATAAAATTCGACTCTTTAATTACACAATTGAAAAAAAAAAGATTCTCGAATCCCAAAATATCTATTTACAACTAGCTGAGTTAATATTTTTCAATCAGACATGAATAAAATTCTTTCAAAAATTTAATGATGTAAATTAACTTATCACCTCCTCTTTCGCGGTCGACTGATTGAGTGTTGCTGCATCAATGCCTAACTTTTTTAACTGATGCAACTGATCTTCAATAAGGGCTACCAAAGGTGACACAACCATTACAATACCTACAACAACAAAAAATACATAGAAATTCAATTAGTTCCTGGAAGAAATTCAATTAGTTCCTGGATAAGAATTGCATATTACTTAATAAAACTCTAAATAATTAACCCTTCATAACAATAGCTGGCAACTGGTAACAAAGACTTTTCCCACTTCCAGTACTCATCACCACCAAACAATCTTCCTTCGACAGCACTGCATTGATAACAGCTCTGAAGAAGCACAAGGATTAACTAACTGTACCATCATCAGCATGGAAAGATTTCGAGATGCAAACTTCCAACATAAATCTAGCAAGTTTCTTACAATAACAATTAGAATATATCTCCTATTACTAAAATTTACAATATCAATAACAGTATTGCTGGTGTTGACCTATTATTAATATAATGACAATATTGACAATAGAAAAAGTGAAATTATGATGAAGAGGGACCTTTGCAGAGGACGAAAGTCACTCAATTTAAAAATGTCATGCAATACACGGCGACATTCCTTCATCCATTGAAAATCGTCTGAATCCCAAATTTTAGATGAATTTTCATTCTCTACATTTCGCTCAACTATACGCTTTTCAATCTGTAAAAGTTATAGTGTGCCCGGAAAAAAATACTATGTTTGCAGGATTTAAATCTTTAAAGTTACTATAATTCTTAACAGACACTGACAAACCTTCAAGACACCGAATTCGCAGAGTTTTTTTTATATACAATTTGATAATTTCAGGATGAACTATATATCAATTAAATACTATACAATAAGAACAACCTGTGCTTTCCTTTCCAGTAATGCACGCTTTCGCTTTCTCAACAAACATATATCACTTTCGATTCTTTCTAATTCTTCATCGAGTTTTGATAACTCCATCGAAAGTTTTGCTCCCTGAGGTGCTGTAGTTTCCATTGTTATTCATCGAAAGAAGCAACTCGAGTGCACTGAATAACGAAATAATTCATCAGTAATAGAAATCTCATCCTGAAAGACGCGCCCTCCCCTCCTCACCCCCCTGCGATTTCTCGCTCATCCCAATAACATCCAAGAAGAGCTGTCGAACATCGGTCAACAATCACACCGCAAAACACCACATGCTCCCTGTCTTTCCCGAACGCTGTGTTCGGGGAGGAAATCTGAGGTGTGTATCTCCGCGACTGGTGATTTTGGGTGAAGCGTAGTTAGGTTTATTCTTACTTTGTTTTTAACTAGTAAAAATGGTTGCAAAATTAGAAACTGTTTTGAATTCGAATTAGAGAACGATCGGCTAATCCTGTTGATAATAGGATTAGCCGATCCTTCCCTAATTCAATTATCGCAAGCAACTTCTCTACATATCAGTAGTTGTTTTGAAGTGTAATACATTCCTATCAAACAGTCGAAAATCGAATATTGATCAACTCAGCGCAAAATTGAAATAGCTGGTTGGAAATAGTATCTGTTCATCTTAGAAAGACAGCAATCATTCAATATGTTTAATGAATGCTATATTTTCTACAAAAATGGTTGTGCATCATTTTTTTTTTGTTCTCGGCTTCAGTTTCAAAGTACAACTTTTGAAGTATGTCCATATGCTTTTGCTTGACATGCAAATAGCACAAAATTTGTGGGTAATTTTGGCAGTAAAAGTTTTCGATACTCAATATTAAAATTCAGACGATAAGATTATTGTCTTATCGATAAAAAAGTTAAATTTCGATTTTGATAACTGAGATACGAAATCAGTGCCTTTGACCAGTAATGATAGCTGAAATTTGAGCCATTGATCTTTGTCATAGTTATACTCGTTGATCGCTATGACCTTTCTAGCTTATTATGATGCCTTATATGTGATAACAAAGTTGTAGTATATATCTGACAAGAAGCGAAATTCCATACGCAATAAAGTGGTGATGCAAAAATGCTTGTATTATTGAAATAGAATAGAAATACTATGAAATAAGAAATAATAAGTAACAAAATATGAATAAAAGTTACAGAGAGGACAAAGAGAACAATTCCACTGACTTTCGGATTTTCGTTAATTTTGATGATCAGATTTCAAAGCCCAAATTCCGAACAATCACTGATAGTCTTACTTCTTTCTTTCGTCTCATCATATTTTTGTTTCTTTAATGTTTATCTCTTTTGAAAAGAACTCATCATTCCTCAGATTCTGGACAAAAGATTAACTAGTAAGACAGTGAAATTTCAAGCCCGAAGAATCAGACAAAATTACATATACATCAATTAACATAACAAAAGGAAGCTATGAAATATACACGTATGAAAGGAGATGTCAAGAAATACGATTGCACATGAATAGAAAGCAGGTATAGAAGTTGGAATGACCCCACTGTAGATAAATTAGAATGACCTTCTTTACATTTCATCTCACTGATTTATGTTGTGGAAGTCAATAAATTTGGATACAATTTCCCGATGATTCTCTATATAAACAGATAAAAGTACAGCTTTTTGCGGAACATTTCGCTCTGCAAGTTCCAATTATCTTTTTTTCAAAGAAAACTTCATTGAAGTAGTTCTACTAAGGACAAAGTTGGTTATGATGAACTGTTATATTTAAAGCCTAGCCATACAATAGTTTTTTTTTTTATTCTACTAGTATTTCAAATATTTCTAATCATGATGATGAGGTGGCGGTTGAAATGTTTCCTAGTCCTGATGACTTTGTAACACGACTGGTGAAAACCATGTTCTTCCTGACAGTACCATTTTGTTCATTCTAAAAAAAAAATTATTTTACTGAGGAAAATAATTCTTCTGTTCGTGATAAAATGAAATGGAATAAATTAAGGAAGGCATAAGCGGTCTTCCGCAAAGGATTGCAAAATCTCTCTTCAAACATAGAAAAAAGTCCAGAAAAATTTTAGATTCATGTATTTGAAGCAAAAATTGAAGAGAAATCAGTGGTTTTCTTGATTATTCAAGTGATTCAGTGTATTCGCTTAAGAGTATGCGAAGAGTACTTGAACAAAGTGATCAGTCTATCTTACCTGAACATTATTATCTAATTGGGAATTCATGGCGTTATTTTGAACTTTTCGTGATCTTCTCTGTTCTCCATCTAATGAATTGCTATGTGAAATTCGATGAACTTGAAGCGTGCGTGATTGACAGAATCCTTTCTGGCATATATCACATTTGAATGGTTTATCCTTCGAATGAATAAATCTGAAGAGAAAAAAGGCAAAATGCAATTTGTAGTACGATAAAAATTTGTGAAAAAATGTTCTGTAATTGAGAGTATTTTTCATAGCCTACCTTTTACAGGTTTATTATATACATTATATTGATAGTTCTACTGGTGAATGGAAGAGAAAGTGAAAAGATGGTCACGATTAAGTAAATTTTAAATATGGGAAAACTCTACTAATCTTTTTTTATTTAATACACAGGCGAACATACAACTTTTTCCTACATTACACATCTGAACTTAACAGCAGGTATAGTGTATTTATTGGTTTGTTCATTTCGTTAACTTCAATACCGGTTACCGTACTTACTGATACATCTATTTTGCTAATTCATCTTCATAGATTGAACAAAAAAAAATGAAATTTAAAAAAAAACCTGTGGTCTCGTAGATGATCTTGTCGACGAAAGGCTTTGCCACAAATATCACATTCATATGGTCGTTCGTCGGTATGCGTACGTTCATGTATTAATAAATTATATGATTTGGTGAAATGCCGATTACAAAATTTACAAATAAACTCTTTTTTTGGACGAGCCCCTCTACCAGTATTACGTTTTGGCAATAAAAACCTGAAATTAAATACCTTTAAGCAAAAAGATAATTCATTCTAATGCATTTAATCTCTATTTTCTTGGTTTCTATTTCTAAAATTGAAAATTATTCTTCCTCCATCCCTAAGTTTAATTATTTAGCAGCTGAGTGAATTTGAATTGGAAACATACTCACCATGGTTTATTAAAGTCGTTGGTGGAAGTAGCGGATGCAGTTGATGTATTTGGTAAACAACGTTGTGCTAAGCCATCGGTACATTTTGTCGCTTTCGCCATCCAAAATTAATAAAAGTAGGAGAAAAATGAAATTAAACCGAAACAGCGATATAAGTAAAGAACGGATTTTTTTTAAGATTAGCATAGAAGTTGAAAAATTAAATTAATTTATGAAAAGTCTTATTAATTCACTTGAAAACAGCAAAATATTTTAACTCAATTAATTTTTTTTCTTTTTTTCTTTTCTACTATATTCATTTTCGTCCTCAATCCTTTCTCCAAGGTTAAAGCTATTCAATTCAACAGAAAAATGCTAGAGAAATCCATGGGCATAAAATAAAGCTCATTTATTTTTAAATTTTTTAACTTTCTTTTTAAATCATTTAAGACAGTTTTTAAATCAAATGATATACTAATTCTTAACTTAGATCTTAATTTCAGCCCTTTATAGACAAAAATTGAGGTTATTTATTTTTAAATTTACTTTTTAAAATTATTAAACAATTTTTAAATCAGATGATGACACTAAGTATTTGTAAAGTACTTTACTTCCTCAAACAACCTTGCTTTCATTCTCGATGCTTTTAGCAAGCTGAGTAAAATCAAATTTCGGATGATCGTTACAGGACACTACTGGTGCATTCCCGTTTTTGTCCTCTATTGCTGCTTTCATTACCATTTGTTGATTAAAATGGATCACTCGTTGCCTCTAAGGTAGATGACAATGAAGTGTTAAAGAGATCAATACTAAAATCAATCATCTATTAATAACTGCTGGTAATGTGCTATTGCTAAGCACATTGAATAATCATACAAAAGCCATATTTCTTAGATATTGTAATCAATTTCGATTGTCGATTTTCATTTGCCTGCCTTTTTCATCTGATCACCTATTTCCCGAAAACCGCCAAATAGCTTTTCTTTTTGTGAAATAATGTCTTGTTAATAATGTTTATTTACTTTTGCGCTTATCAAACTGATTCTGTATGATAGAAGATACTAAAGATGAATTTGCAATTGTCACAACAATAACCAACCTGCGCATCAGCCGAAATCTGTGCGAGCATCATTTGTCGATATAAATGCATATAGTAACGATTCCACTGCTCGTTTGTGTAATGATTCGGAAAAATGGTTGGTGCCGGTGGTACCGGATGAGTTGGCTGTTGCGTTCCGGTTAGTGACAGGAAGCCGTTGAATGGATACGGCACATGAAGAGGACGCATTCTAGTTTCTGCAATCGCGCGATTTTGTAACATCCGAAAGCGTGCCAACTTCGCCACTATTCCTGAAAAATTAGTGCAGCCATTAAAATATTGTAGTTTTCAATATAGGAAAGCAAAGAATTTTTAAACACACTTGTAAAATAATGTAATTCAGTAAATGGTATGGATTTACAAATAGGGAATCTTAAGTTTATCCAAGTTCTCAACACTTTCTCAGGAATGAAAACCGATTTAATCCTATTATTTTCACCAGAAGGAATTTGAGTCATCAAATTTTTCAGATAGCCATATTTGCGTGCTATTTAATGATTCTCAGTTACAGGCACTAAGAATGTAAGGACTGATATGACTGACAATTACTGTTTATAAAACATGTCGGCACACTTTGCGGCTTTTTTTTTCAAACCGTTTATTTTGTATATGTATATGAATGTACGTATAAGCTATGCAATCATCATATGTTTGTGTGTCCGCAAACAATTATATATCTGCTTTTACATGCATATGTTTGCTTATTATTAAGCTTTTCTATATCTTCGCGCAAAAGCTACAACAGCATAAGATGGCGGCAAAGATGAAACGCTGTATGTTGCTGCTGATGTATTGAATGATATGTTAAGTGATCAGAGCACAGAGTTATTCATTCTACCAATCATTATCACAGTGACAACAACCGTTCCAAAACAACTGCACAAAAAAACGCATGAATTCTTATACTTTCACATACGTAAGTACGAAACACATATACATATACTTGAATGATGCACTATAATGCAAGTTTTTCGGAAATAACATCGAAACTTAGCTGTAAGAATTATCAGATTGTCTGAGAGATTACTTCGACCTATTGTATAAATCGCGGAATTTTGAAAATTTAATCTTTTCTCCTAAATACCATAATTGTGAAATTTCATAGCGAAGCTTTTTCGGTAGCAGCACGATCCTCTTCAATATCACGGGAGAAAAAACTGCGAAATTCTCTGCAAAAATATTAGTAATGATAAACGTGAAGTGCTTCCTATCTTCTATCTTCTCATCGAATCATTTTAGCTAGCAAAATTAGCAAGAGAAAAGTAATAGAGAGAGTCGTTGATAACGTAAAAACTATTTTATGCGATTGGAACTTGTTTTATTTTTTTAATTTACACAATACTCGGAAATTCTTCACCCTTCATGATAATATGTAAAAATTTTTTACCATTTCACATGCCACTAATTAGTGTATTTTTAAATGATTGAAAAGGTAAATGTAAAAATTTTCAAGAAATGATATTCAGTTGAAAATGGAGATTAAATTATTCGAACACACCGGTTGAATGCATGGAAGCTAAAGGCGTGAGTAGCAGGAAGAGAATTGTGCGGCACAGTCTTTTGATCGTTTAAAAATCAAACACTGAGTGATAGCAACAAGAGAAACTCTTTCGTACATAAATATAGTGCTAAAATTTGCTTCTGATTTGAATGCTTCACAAAAGCAAACGAGACCACTCCTCCATCTGAGCATTAAAACAGATGAAAGGATGAAGCCGCCGATACTTCAGCATTCTACACAGATTCCTTCACACACCCCATCTTCCGATCCTTCAGATGACGGACTATTGCTGTATTGTGCTCATTTTTATACCGTTTTATACTTTAAAAATTTTCAATGCTTACCGCCTTTTCATTTCCAATCATAGAATGGAAAGCATTCATTACCATCAACTTTTACTTACCATTATTATTTTTTTTATACTGCGCCTTTATAAAATAAAAAAATGAACGAGCATAAAAACATTTTGACAGATTTTAGACAAATTAAAAGCTTTCATTGAATCTTGTTTTGCACCATTCTCCAAATGTTGATTTATCCCTCTCAACAATAACGACACAAAAAATATCATTATTTTCAAAAAATTTCAGATTTACCAAAAATATTAGATATAAAAATTTATAAGATTCAAAACCTATGACTAAATTTCAAGTTCAAAATATATTTCCAATCAGAAATTCCGATCAATTATTTTTTAACTCAAAAAAAGAAAAAAAAAGAAAGGAGCAATGCAAAACATTCAACAAAATTAATTAAATAATAAAAAGAAAATGAAACAATGTTTCTACAATTATTTCATTGATAATTACATGAACGTTATATTCTCTTAGCAAAATATCATATATTTTATTAAATATTTGCTTTAATATCCAATAAACATAATTTATGTACATATTGATTAACGTAGTTCATTTATTTGTTATCATTATCGTGATTGTTTTTGCTATAAATTTTTAATTCATTTGCTTTACATATGCAAAAGTAAGGCATAAATAGGCCAATGACAGTCTATAAATTAAATGTCGTAACTCTAATTATGCCGGGAATATTTTCAATATATTCCAAGAAGTGTACAAAATGCATTTAATTCTGAATTAGGCAATGATGAAATGTTATTTGATAATTTGACTGTAACTTAACATTTACAGTTTTCTTAGCCATCAACCAAATCCACAGTTAAAAATGCCAGAGTGAAGTTCAGCAATACATTGTTGTTTGAATCATTTTTATTCAGAAAGCTTTGAAACTAGAAAAATTTTATTTCAAATTGAATTTAATTTAATTTTTACTGCATTTCGATTACAACGAATAATCACAGTTATTTTTAATCGTAAATGATGAAATATTCTTTATACCACAATGATCAAAATTTACCGTTATCAAAGTGCCTTCGAGATTGAATAATTTTTGTGAAACGGTATTAAACTTGCTGAATAAATTAAGCCATGAGCCAAATTATAACTTCCCACAGTACTCAAGACTTTAAATTAACTCACACGTCATCTTAAGATCCAAAAATAAAGAAAACATGGAAACATTCTTTGCATATTACTTTCTATTACGACTTCTCTTAAATTTAACTCTTTCCACAATTTGTTTGTATCTCTTAAAATTATCCCAATGTACAAATTATTGACTTGGACAAATTCGTCGTATACAATTCAATGTACAAATTATTGACTTAGACAAATTCATCGTATACACCACAAGCACAAATGGCCCATTCTAAGATGAAAAAGGATATTGTATGAAACTGTGATAATGTCATCTTTTTGATAATAAGTGGTAAAAATATTAAAAAAAGTGATGAAAAAATTCGATAGCGAAAAATAGACAAGAAAATAATAGCAAGAAAGTTGTATGAAAAAACTACAGAACCAAATTTAAAATAAAAAATAATTGAATTAGATGTTGGTATTTATAGTAATATTTATTAAATGTAAAAAACGAATTGTGATAGCAAATACAAAAAAAGTCTCATAAAAACAAATGATGTAAATTAAAATTTCATGCTAAAAGCATCCCATCGCAGTTTCACTTATTTTCCTTGAAATGAATACTTCGTTAATGGTGGATCATTGTATCATCTGATCTTACAACAATCCATATCATATCTTATGCAATGTATATCAGTGTTACAATTTGAAAAATATCAAAAATGCACGAGGATTCACGGTTAAAATTTACTAATTGCAGGAGTTTTCCTGGTTTTTACTTATTAAAAGATTAACTTTTAGATAAAAATTATCAATTTACTGAAAAATTTTTGATTCAAAATTTTTAATTAACTGATAAATTAATAACAATTACCACTAAATTATTTAGTTCAGAACTAATTCATTTGAAAATCAAGTAAAAAATTACGTTCATCTTTGAAGTTTAAACAAATATTTAATAATTTCAATTACTTCTCAAGTAGCAAAATCTGCAAGAATTTTCATACAGTATTTAGAACAATTTCACAAAAATTATCCCCACCTTCTCCTCTTTCCTCATCCGCCCATTTTGTTGCCATACTTTCGCTATTTTATTGAATTGAAATGATAATCCGATAAAAGAGTGAAACTAAAAGATGATGATTGACAAAAGCACCCGAAGCTTAGAGATGAAATGGAGGAAATGAAAGGATTTGTCGAGAATGTGTGAATTAGTCACAGCAATAGCGACGAACACATCTACTGGTTGGTAGTATTGGTAGCCGATCATTGTAACGGCAGCAACAGCGCCACAGATACTTGTCTACCTACCGTATCCTTTCAGCAACGCCTACTGGTTAATAGCAGTAGGAGACCAACTCCACCCATTTTGCTACTTCATGTAAGAAAATATTTTTCGAAATATTTCATTAAAATTTTCAAAAGCTTAAATCATTATTAATTAAGTTGATAAATTCAATCGTATTTGTTAAAAATCATATATTTATTAGATTTAAGCTAACAACTCGTTTTCTCACAAAATGCTTACCTTTATTTGTTTGGCAAGCAATAAAATAACAATAAAGAGGAAAATTCATTATAAAAGAAATTAATTGCAAACTCATTGAAAAATTTAATAAATGGAAAGGTCAAATGAAATATGCTTACAACCGATATTTTGAATTATCTTTTAAAGAAACTTACTTGTAATTTTATTCAGTGCTATATACGATGAAATGGTAGGTTGAATAAGTGATGAGTAAACGATGATATAATAAAATAAATTCCTAAATGACAGAATGAAAAGATAAATATGACATAAATCATCAGTAAGTTGTTCAGTAAACCACTCAACTTTTCTTCATAACTCGCAATATTTAATCAAACAACATCAACCACAGAATACCAGAACAGATTGGTTACCAGAACCGATCAGAGGAACACTTAGTACACTATGTTTTTAAACACTTTTGATGAGTAATTGTGTCACTCCTATGACTCATAACCATAATAGTTCTAACTTTTCATCGCAGTTTTTGTTAATTAGTTAAAAATTTGCCTTGCTCATTTCTATTAATTTCAAATTTTTATTAAAAAAAGTATTTCATTTGAAAGACAGAAAACACTATATTTGATTTAATTTTCAAGAACAACGTTTTTTTTTCTTTGGAATTTTTAAAAATGTTGAATTTTTGTTTTCCTTGAATTTTCATCACTTCTTAAAAAGTATGCATTAATAAAGTATTGAAGTGAAAGGAAGAGAAAATGGCATAAACGAGTACTGTAGTCTGTTAAATGATACATTT